GCTCAGTCATCTTCTTGATAACTATGGTCCAGACATGTGCTGTGTACTTAGCAATTAACCTCCCGCAATTCTCATTCCTCGGCTGGCTGAGCCCCGCACCCCAGGGCCTATCACCTGCTGTCGTTAGGCTCTTTAGAAGCAGTGCTTGAATACAGGTGTCTGCACCTGGGCATGACAGCTTTCTCCTTTCACAAAAAGTGACTCTGACCTCCACTGTCATGGTTAAATAAGGCTTCGATGGCACTTACACAAACAAGCCCTGGCTTAATCAAAGTGAATAGAATCTTAATGAATGCAAACAATCTCATTTATCTTCCCTTTCCACTATTTCATTCATTTATTTTAAGTCCTCTTTGTCCTCAAGTCTGGATGAGTGGTTCGTTTCGTTTTTTGGTGACTTTATTATTTCTATTGCCATTGACGCGGGGCAGGGTTATTTTCACTAGCACAGCTCTGTACCCTTCGCAGCTTTGTGTGTATTTTCGTGTTTCTTGTCTGACTTTCAAGGCCTGTGAAATACCCTGGAGCCTGTTTGTTGGAGAAGGATGGGAAGAGATTTCCGGGTGTGTTTTCATGGGAGTGTTTCTCTTTTTCCCTCCCCCACCTCCCATCCTTGTTTTGTATCCAGACCTTATGTCTATTAAAAGAGCCATGGGGGAGCCCTGGCTGATTTGGCTCAGTGGTTACAGTGTCAGACCATGGACCAATGAGTCCGGGTTCGATTCCAGCCAAGGACACATACCCAGGTTGAGATTTGTCCCTGGCCCTGGTTGGGGTCATGTGGGAGGCAACCAGTCAATGTGTCCCTCTCACCTCGATGTTTCTCTCTCTCTCCCTTTCTCTCCCTCTCTCTCTACCTGGAGATAAATAGAAAAATATCCTCGAGTGAGGATAAAAAAACAAACAAACAGAAAACAAAGAGCCATGGGAGAGACAGTGACCCTTTTTGCCCCACAGACAGCCCCCTCCAAGGCCTCGGATTCCATTTTATTTTGGTTAATCTTTACCCGAGTATATTTTTTCCATTGATTTACAGAGAGAGTGGCAGGGGAGGGAGGGAGGGAGGGGGGAGAGAGATAGGAGGCAATCAATGATGTGTCTCCCTCACGACCCACCAGAGCTGGGGACCGAACCACAACCAAGGCATGTGCCCTTAACCAGAATCGAACCCGCGACTCTTTGGTCCACGGCCAAACCAGCCAGGGTGCGTCCAGTGTTTTTCCTATGAATGGGTATGTATTTGTATGATCATTACCATCCTCTTTTCACTTAACATTAAACAGTGGCTAAACATTTGCCAGTATTGTTAAATGTTATTTGAAGGCATCTTTTTTTTTTTCATCCTCACCCAAGGACATTTTTTCTTTTTTATTCAGGTAGAGTGGGAGGGAGAGAGAGGAAGAGAGTGAGAGAGAGAAACATCGATGTGAAAGGGACACATCGAGTGGCTGCCACCCGCATGACCAACCAGGGCCAGGGACAAACTGCAACCAAGGTACGTGCCCTTAGCGGGAACTGAACCCGGGTCTCTCAGGACCACAGGCGGTTGGTTGCTCTAACTGCTGAGCCAAACCGGCCAGGGCAAGACATCATTTTTAATGGCTACATAGCATTTAGCTTGTGTGTTCCATAATTATTATATCATTGCCTTGATAGTGGACACTTAAGTTTTGAGCATTCTTGCTGTTGTGACACTGTGACAAACATCTTTGTCTGTAGATCTTGTTCGTGTCTCTGTTGGAAGTGGGAGTGCTGAGCCAGGGGATCTTCCTAATCTCTCTTTCCTACTTAAACACGCAGTGCGCGGTCACTGTAGAATGTTCATACCACACTGAGATACTGGCAGAAGTCTGCCATCCCACTTCCCCAGGAATCCATCGCCGCCAGGGCGGGTACAGAATGTCCCAGTGGTCTTGCCACACAGCCACATTGGTTTCCTCTGTGGTTGTGCCACGTCGTGTGGACTCTGCCTCCCCACAACCTGTACCTATGTTGAATACGTGTTTGTTGCAAACTTTTGCTAATTTGATTGGTAGAACAGTCTCTCTCTCTTAAAGCAGATTTTCTAGCTTTGTATTGCTTTGAGTACCAGTAGGTTTTCTTCCTTTTTTTTTTATCCTCACCCGAAGACATTTTTGCATTTATCTTCAGATAGAGCGGGAGGGAGAGTCAGAGGAAGAGAGAGAGAGAGAAACATTGAGGGGAGAGACTCACATCGATTGGTTGTGCCAACCTCACAACCCTTCAGGGACAAACTGCAACAGAGGTTCGTGCCCTTAGTAGGAGCCAAACCCAGGGCCTCTCTTGTCCACGGGCCTACACTCTAACCACTGAGCCAAACCAGCCAGGGCACCAGTAGGTTTTCATAATGACCATTTTTATCTCTTAAGTGAATCATCCTATGTTCTTTGGCCTTTTTTTCATTGAGAGGTGCTAGTATTTTACTTATTTATTTGTAGGTAGTCTTTATAATAAATATATTAGGCGTTGTCATATTTCTTACAAATGTTTTCTCAGATGGTAGTTTGCCTTTACACTTTCTGTGAAGTTTTTGACGTCAACACGCCCAAACATGTGGCGAGGCTCACCTCTGAATCTCCTTTTTGTGTGGCTTCCTCCTTGGCCTTCAGCTTTAAAGGACATCTTCATCTGATAGGCGGCTCGGTGTGCCGGTGCGTTTTCTTCCTGTTTGAGTTTCAGTCGGCTTCACCAGTATTTACCAGTATTCAAGTGTATTGCGGTGAAGGATCTAACTTGAAATTTTTAATGTCAAATCTCCAGCGTTTAACTTCTTTATATTCCCCCAAAAGTGCCTCCCCCAACTCCAGGGATCATTGCTATGCTTTCTCTTGATAAAATGTTGCCTTTTCTAGAATTCATGTAAATGAAGTATAGTGAAGGTACATGCAATATATGTGGTCTTTTGAATCTGGTCCTTTCCCTGGGCATGACGTTTGTGAGGTCCCTGCACGTGGTGCCGCGTGTCGGTGGTCCAGTTCTTTTTGTTGCTGGCTGGGGTTCTGCTCTGTGGGTGGATCACAGTGTTTACCCACTCACCGGGCAGCGAGTTTGCTCTGCCTGGTCCCCTTCAGTCGAGAGCCACTGACTTACGGCAAAAACACAGTAAAGTAAGCCTAGATTGTTATTGACTCCTACAAAAATTATTAAGTGACAGGAAAGGAAAGGAAGAGAACATTTTAGAACAACCAAATTTAAGAGCATTTGAATGGTAGTCTACACTCAGCTTCTTATCAATAAAATCCAGTAGGAAATTGACTGGAATAAAATTTACACATCATTTTTTAAAAACTTTATTACTTCTAAGAAATAGTACCTTTTTTCTGCTGGTGTGATCAAATGAGAATTCACAAAAGGTATTAAAAATATGCCATATAGCCCAGCTGGTGTGGCTCCATGGTTGAGCATCAACCCATGAACCAAGAGGTCACCCATTAGATTCCCGGTCACGGCACACGCCCAGGTTGTGGGCCCGATCCCCAGGGGGAGGCATGCAGAAAGCAACCATTCAATGTTCTCTCCCATCGATGTTTCTCTCTCTCTCTCTAAAATCAATGAGGAAAAAATAATTTAAAATATGCCATATTAAATTTTTAAAAAATGTGTGCCATATTGCGCCCTGGCCGGTTTGGCTCAGTGATTAGAGCATTAGCCCTCAAACCAAAGGGTTGCGGGTTTGAGTCCCAGTCAAGGATAGGTACCTGGGTTGCAGGTTTGATCCCCAGCCCCAGTCGGGGTATTCGGGAAGCAGCCAATCGATTTATCTCTCTCACATTAATGTTTCTCTTTCTCCCTCCCTCATGCCCTTCCACTCTCCCTAAAAATCAATAGAAAAATATCCCTGGGTGAGGATGAACCAAAAACAAAAAAAGGTACAATGCCCAGAAGAGGTGTGGAGGAGGGTGCCCTCTTTTGGAGCCGAACTGGTTTGCAAACCTGCTTTGTGCTGATGCAGGTTTGGGACCTGAAGGTGACTGGCTCTTTTGGTCCAGGTTTGTTTAATAGGCTTCTGATCTCTTTGCTTCTGGTGAGTTCTGCACACAAGGTTCTATTCTAGTCCTGCTTCTCAAGGCTGCCTTGTTTCTTTCGAGTCTTGCTCTCGTGCTTCTGTATCTCATTCCATCGGAGCCTCCTTGAGTCCCTGAAATGACACTCGGTCACTGTGACTTACTCCCCGTTCCCCGGGCCAGCAGGCCCAGCAGGCCTTGGCGCTTGGTGGTACTTGTTCCGGGAGGCAGCGGCTACTGCAGGCAGCGGCCTGCACTGCAGCGTTTCCTGGAGACCCCCAGGCTCGCGGGCCAGCCTGTCTGCCCGCTGACTGCAGTTTTCGGTTTTGTTAGCAGTCCCACCCAACTTGAAGATACTCATGTCTGTGTCTGTCATCAGGTTTGGTTTATAAAACAGAAACTAGCATTTCAAGCAAGAGGGAATTTACCACAGTGAATTAGAGGTTTGTGGAACCACTACCTGTGCAGGGGGTAATGGTGGTGGCAGCCCCAGGCCAGAGGCTGCTGCTGTCAGTTTCAGGAAGTCAGGAGCTGTGAGAATCGCAGGAAACCGCACCCAGTCTGCTGGGCCCATCAGCTGGACCTCCGTGGAACTAGGGAGAGGGTGACCTCCAGGAGAACGCTCCGAGGCTGCTGGTGCGCGTCCCCTCTGCCGAGCGCCCAGGCCTGTGCCCGTGAGCTCCTGCCAGAGCCTTCCCAGCCAGCCACCCTGCTCCTCTGCTTTCCAGGCCTTGTGGGATCTGACTCTCACCCTTGCCGGGGTGCGGTCCCGCAGTCCCTGTGTTGGGGGAGCGCAGAGAGGAACCGCTCTGGCCAGCGCACAAGGTGAGGGGAGCGCTGAACCTAGGAACCAGGAGAAACAGCTCCCGGCACAAACTGCTGGAGTGTCTCAGGTAAAGCGTTCTCTGTCTGGAAACAAATACAAAATATACGTATACATAAAACCTTGTTTTTCATAATTGTCTTTATTTATAGACTACAAAGCAATTGGCAAAATAGGCGAGGGAACGTTTTCTGAAGTCATGAAGATGCAGAGCCTGAGAGATGGAAACTACTATGCATGTAAACAAATGAAACAGCACTTTGAAAGGTAGGCGATGAGACACGTTACCACTGTGTGCAGACTCGGGTTCAAGTCACCAGAGCGACTTAATACTCATGGGAAGATTATATTCATGTGACGGTATGTAAGATACAGTCAAATTTCTTTAGGCAGTGGGGATTGTGGGTGTTGTAACCCAGGAGATCGACCACACTCAGACTCAATTTTTCAGTTTTTGGGGATGTTTTATTACCTGCGCAGGGACTGCAGCCAACCTACACAGAGGAGAACTGCAGCCCTGAGCTCAGGGGGAGGGTTGCTTATATAGGGCAGGGGTCCTTCAAGAGTTTAGCAGAACAAGCAAGCTGCTTGTACAGAAGCGGAGGCAGTTAGCGATAAGCAGGAGGGAACGGAGGTGGGAGGGAGCTGAGGCGAAAGGGAACTGGGTGAACTGGGTCAGCATAAATCTATTCTGCTATTCATTCTATTATCTAAGTTTTAAAAACTAACAAATTCGAGATGGATATCAGCAGTTAGTCAGGTGCAATACACACATGTTTAACAGTTACAGTTTTATGGGGTAAAGGGAGCTTCAGTTTCTCCCTATCAGTTTCTTTACAGAGCATGCAGGACACTCTGGCCTTGGGGCCGTTTCTGTCCTCCCTTTTCCTGAAGGATGTTGCTTTTCAAATTCCCAGTGAAGATCAAACTCTGGTTAATTTTTATGGGGCTAAAGCCGTCTATAACATTCCCCATTGTTCATCTTGCTGTCTCTGAGGTTGTTAATTAGGGCAGCTCAAAGACAAGTTGGATTCTAAGGACAGTGAGCTACAATAGTGGGCTCATTTTATGTTTATCATACTGGATTTTATTTATGTCCCAGTTTACTGTAATATCAGTGATTAATTGGTCACAAAAAAATTTAAACAGTAAGAGTATGCCTCACTTAAAACAGTCTATATGTTCCTCAAAATTTTTTGTGTTGGACTTTTATAGACAAAACCTTAGTCTAAATATACTAGAACTCGTGATTTATTTATTTGTGAATCAATGTGTTGAAAAATAATTTCCAGGTGCAACTACTATGGAAAACACTACGGTGTCACCTCAAAAAGTTAAAAATTGAATTGCCATTTGACCCAGTGATCCCACTTTTAGGAATATAGCCTAAGAAACCTGAAACACCAATCAGAATATATGTACCCCCATGTTCATAGCAGCACTATTTACAATAGCTAAGATCTGGAAACAACACAAGTGTCTATCAGTAGATGAGTGGATAAAAAAGCTGTGGTACATATACACAATGAAATACTATGCAGCTATAAGAAAGAGAGATCTCTCATCCTTTGAGATGACATGGAGGGACCTGGAGAGTATTATGCTAACCGAAACAAGCCAAGCAGAGAAAGACAAATATCACATAATCTCACTTATTTGTGGAATATAATGAACTAAACAATGAACAAAATTGACCCAGAGACATAGAGGTGGGGTATAGACTGACAAACCTCAGAATAGAGTGCATTGTGGGGTGGGGGGGAAAGAGATATACCACAGAACTTATATGCATGTACGCATAACCAATGGACATAGACAACAAAGCTGGGGATAGGGCGGGGGGGGGATGGGGAGGAGGGTGTCAATGGGGGAAAAAGGGGAAACGTCTGTAACAAAAACAAATTAAAAAACATAATTAAAAAAGAAAAGAAAAGAAAAATCATTTCCAAATAGGGTTGGAGAAATCGATTCCCTGGGGTGACAGCGTGTGGAGTGGGAGCTCTCTGGTTCTGGATCAGTCCCCTGGGGGAGCTGCGGCTTTGTCCCTCACAGGGCCTCTGCACGTCTTGAGTTTGCCGCTTAGCATATATCACACTAAACAGTCATTACCACACTACCCAACGATGAAGTGAGTGCTGGCTTCGTGGCAACTGTTCAACTTCTCAATAAAGAGGTTTGAAGCTCAGCTTTTAATGTCAAAGGAATTGCAGTCTCCAAGTACCTAAAGCACATTTTTAAAAACATAGTCATTCCCCCACATTGATGCAGAGCCTGCTGAAGGGTTGGGGTATAAACCTTGATTTCAGGCTCTTAGTGTGAAAAATTGTTTCTCAGATCAGAAACGCGCACAGGCCAGTTAGAGGTGTCCAAGAGTATGGAGAACAGTAATTTCATCCTCGTGACATCCCCACGGGATCGATGTGATCATCCTTGGTTCACACAGGAGGACAGGAGCTTAGAGATGTGAAGTCATGTGACAGCTGTCACTCTAGGTCAGAGCCAGCTCTGAACCCAGATTCCTCGTTCTTCACTGCTCAGAGCATGTGGCCAGTAGCTGGTTGGCCGAGACTGCTGTCCCTGGTCCCGTGCTTTGCTCTGCCTGTCACTTTTTCCTTTGTGCGACAAATTACTCGTGGTAGAGAATCAGATGCACAGTGTACTGACTACCCCTTATCTAAGAGCAGACTTCCTTAAAGAGCCACCTTGGAGAAACGCACCAACACCCAGAGTGGCAGAGAACGGACCGTAGCAGCAGGGTGTGGGGCATTTGCTCCTCAGGGAGAACCAGGTCCCACTGTCAGGTTCAGGGGTAGACGTGCTTACAGACAGCAGCAATGGCCAGCTGCTATTTTGGTGAAGAGATGCAAATAAAACATGGACCGAACAAATAGCATCCCGACTCAGGTACTTCCGCGACTGCTGCTGTCAGAATCCTGCGTGAGCACGCTCACTGTGGAGCCGGCCTCAACGCCATCTGCTGGGCCGCAGACGTCCCTGCAGAAGGAACAGCCATCACAACACCATTTAGAAGTGTTTCCATCAGAGGAATGCCCTTAAGGGACATTCTTTTGAGGGGTGGGGGACACTCAGTTTATCTGGAGAAGTACCTTCGTGTACTTTGTGTAACCTCAGTTTCTCAGGAGATGTAGTGTTATCTAAGGGACGCGGTTTCCTGGCAGTAACACGCATCCTGGATCCACCATCTACCAACACATTGAAAGTGCACCCCTCGTGTTAGAGAGGACAAGAGTCTCAAAGTCTGGGCCGTTCTTACTGAATGCTGTTCTTGCTAATGTTAAAACATAGCAAAGTATTTTGCAGACCAGCTGTGAAAAAGATGAACTCAACAGGAACTCAACCAGACTAAGTGTAGCCAACTGCAGAGAAGAAATCAATGTGCAACGGACAAATAGTGTTTCAGGGGAACCTGGGTTCTTGAGCTTAATTTGTTCTGGAAAGCTGTTCGAGAAGTGATTTGCTCAAAAACCGAATCAACTTTTCCCATTTGAAATAATGTAAATTGAATTAATCCGTTCCAGCAAAAAAAGCACGAAAATAGCCCTGGCCAGTTTGGCTCAGCGGTTAAAGCGTCGGCCTGCGGTCCGGAGAGACCCAGGTTCGGTTCCCGCTAAGGGCACGTACTTCGGTTGCAGTTTGTCCCCGGCCCTGGTTGGTCGTGCGGGTGGCGGGTGGCAGCCACTCGATGTGTCCCTTCACGTCGATGTTTCTCTCTCTCTCTCCCTCCCACTCTATCTGTACAAAAAATGGAAAAATATCCTCGGGTGAGGATAAAAAAAAAAAAAAAAAAGCAGGAAAATATCCACAGCACAATTTCCTGAGATGTTAACAAGGTGAAGTTTAGCAGTAAACTGACTCACACTCTCGCATTCTCTCCTTTGTTGCCTGAGAGACCGTGACTGATCGTACAGGTATCAGCATGAAAGCATTATCAGGTCGAGAACTGACGTTTTGTTCCACAATTGAGTCATTTTTCCATGAACAACTTGGTCAAGAACTGAATTGTTTGAGATGGGAGATGTTTGAGAACCGAGGTTTGACTATGAGCAATGGCTAAGCCTCCCTTCCCGGAGACAGAGCTTTGGAGGTGAATCCCTGTCTCCTGCACTAGCTGCAGGTGAATCAAACTGCGTGCTGACAACCATGTCTGCTTACTGAACAGAGCACCCTAAGTGGAGTTCAGTAACACTTGTGCAGCTGAGCCTTGTATAGTTTTCAAAGATTTTTTTATTGATTTTTTTTTTTAAGTAAGAGAGAGAAACATCAATCAACTGCCTCCTACACAATCCCTATAGGAGATCAAGCCCATAAGCTGGGCATGTGCCCTGACCAGGAATTGAACCCGTGACTTTTTGGTGCATGGGACGATGCCCAACCAACCGAGCCACGTTGGCCAGTATGTATTTGTCTTAACTTTAAAAGTTTTTGGTTAATCCAGCTGGTGTGGCTCAGTGGTTGAACGTTGACCCACGCACCAAGAGATCACTGGTTTGATTCCTGGTCAGGGCACATGCCCAGGTTGTGGGCCTGATCCCCAGTGCAGGGGCATGCAGGAGGCGGCCAGTCGATGTTCTCTATCATTGATGTTTCTCTCTCTCTCTTTCTCTCTCTCTCTCTCTCTCCCTCTCCCTCTCCCTTTCTCTCTCTCTAAAATCAATAAAGAAAAAAATATATTTTTAAATAAATAAATAAAAGTGGTTGGTTAGCCCTGGCCAGTTCGGCTCAGTGATTAGAGCGTCGGCCCGGGACCAAAGGGTTACAGGTTTGATTCCCAGTCAAGGGCACATACCTGGGTTGCAGGTTCCATCCCTGACCCCGGATGGGGTTGTGTGGGAGGTAACCAGTCAGTATCTTTCTTACATCGATGTTTTTCTCTCTCTCTCCCTTCCACTCTCTCTAAAAGTCAATGGAAAAAGATCTTTGGGTGAGGATTAACAAAAAATAAATAAGTAGCCCTGGTTGGTTTGGCTCAGCGGTTAGAACGTTGGCCTGCGGTCCAGAGAGACCCAGGTTCGGTTTCCACTAAGGTCACATACCTCCATTGTAGTTTGTCCCCGGTCCTGGTTGGTCATGCGGGTGGCAGCCACTCCATGTGTCCCTTTCATGTCGATATTTCTCTCTTTCCCTCCTACTCTATCTGAACAAAATATGGAAAAATGTCCTGGGTGAGGATTAAAAAAAAATTTTTTTTTCTTATTGATATTAGAGAGAGAGAGAGAGGAAGGGAGAGGGATATAGAAATATCAATG